TGTGTGTGTGTGTGTGTGTGTGTGTGTGTGTGTGTGTGTGTGTGTGTGGGTGTGTTTCCTCTGGCTGTTATAATGCGCATTATAGACACGTTCGTGCCACGCCCATTGCCAGCGGCGACTGGCAAAAGCGCAACTTGAAAAATTTATTGCACTCGCAACTGGCAAAACACACGGCACAGGAACCCGAACAGGATGCGAGGGTGTAGCCAGGACATGCATGCCAAGCAGATTCACTTTTATTTCTCTTTTCGGTTAGACGATTAGACTCGAGTTTCACTAGTTTGCTCTAGCGCAGTTCCACTGTACATCGTTTTATGGCCGTGTATGTGTGTGTGCGTGTGTGTGCGTCTGGTGCTCTCACGTGCTTATCTAGAACTCAGCGAGGCGTCTACCCTCGCACCGCCCCTCGGGCTAGGCCAATGTGGGCTTTGTATGCGTACACAGGATTTTTCGGGCATTGGCGCCACCGCAACCTCACCTGTAAGCGCGTGCACAGCGCATTCTACGTGCAAAACTTTTAGTGGCAAAAATAATGGAGCAATGGCATTTAAGTGCGCCACTTTTCCGAAACGGGGCGGGCGGCAAAGTTCGGCACAGTCCATGCATGATCATTGTTCGATTTTTTGTTTTGAAAATGTTCTCTGGACTTTCTGCTAACGGCCAAGTGATGGGCTCGAGACTAAAGTGAAACCCTGCGCTAGCTAGAGCTTTAAGCACAGAGAACAGCTCCGAGGTCAGCGCTTGACTTGTCTGCTTATGCAGAGCAGCTGCGTGGGAGTTCTCTTTGTGGCCATTAAATACGCTCCAGCAGCTGCACCAGAAAACTAACTCAACTCCAAGGCGACTCATTGTCTGCGCTCGTGCAGTGATAAAGAGCTCTGCTGATGCAGTTCTATATATATATAAGTAGACGCGCACTGGAGCTGCCGGCCAGGAGGCGTTGCAGTCTATTGTCTGGCTGCGCCGCAAAGCATGCAACGCTGTTTTAATGCCGGGCCTTAACAATGGCGCCGCCAAACTGAAGGCAGCTCTAATTTTGCGTGAGACCACGAGAAGTGCTGAAATGGGGTGTATTGGTTTTGTAAGAGTGCATGTGACAGACATTGGATTGAGTGGGATTAGCCATGGGAAAGATAAGGAACGAAGCTGCCGGCTTGTCTCTGTTTGAAACAGCCAAAAGAGAAAACCTTAGATCGGATATTATATTGGAGCTCTTGGAGTTTAGATATAATAACTTAATTTACTTCCCTCGTTCTCTCTTTTCGTTCATCTATAAAAGTCTGCAGAGGTCTTGCTTTATATGAAGTAGACTAGAATTGATAATCTAATGAGTTCTAATAGCAA